CCTTCACATCAATGTGTAAATGTGCCTTAGTCTGCATAATATTTGACTCAAAAATATCAATTATAAGTTACATAAAAAAACTTCAGAAACTTCTGGAAAAGGGATGTGTCTTACAATACTATTTTAAGTCTTAAGGGTAGAAAAAGAGAGGAAGGAATTAAATTAGAGTCCAGATAATCAAACTTTATTTTATTTTATTCCATACAAAGCCCCCAAGTAAATCTCTTGATTTATAACATCTCAAATTATTACATAAATCTGAGCTCTATATAATAGCTGAAGCTTGCTATCACCATTGCTATGTAACGTCAACCAGGAGAATAAAACCCAAACAGATAAACTCTAAGACTGCATCTCCAGATAGTAAAAACTGAAAAAAAATCTCTAGATTATCCCGTTAATCTTGCCTTGTCATCCATTCACTTCAAGCTGATTCATCCTGGGAAATCCACCACCTCATCTGTCATGGCCTCCCCTCACCTTTTCCGTCCAAGGCTATTTTCAACATTAGTCTTTCTTGACAATAGGAAAATGGAGAGATGCTTGTGCCCCAACCTAAAAATAGCCCAAGGAATAGCTGAAGTGTAAGCACTTACTCTTAAAAAAAGAAAAACAGAAAGAAAAGAAATAAGCTCACACTTAGAAAGCACAATAACCCCCAAACCCAAGGTACAAGAATAGAACAAAATACTCCAGGTACCTACCTAGTTCAGGGAAAGAAACCTCTCAAAATGATGTTTAAAATATCATAGAAAGGGACAGAAAATAAAATTCAATGAATGAGTCCAAGATAACAATTATCACCAACTCACTAGACATCCATAACTGATAGTTAAGGTACCATTGATATTTTGTGTTTGTTTAAAGAAATGATGGCAAAAGAAAAGCTAGGCGAAAACCTAAATAATACACAAGGCAAGGGGCAACCTGTCAACCTTTGGCATCCATGAAGCCATAGGGTTAATACCCTCCTAAATTTTAAAAGTGTAGTAAAACACATCAATTTAATTGCCTGTAATCTGAAGCCAGAATTTTGCATGCTTTCTTGTTCATAGCAACAACAGCACCAAGAAGTATTTATTGAGCATCTGCCATGAGTCAGATACTGTTGTGAGCACTGCAGAGAATACAGCATCGAAGGTGACAGATGTGGCCCTGTCCTTATGGAGACTATGTTCTGTCACCACAAGGAATGATAAACATGGCTGGACCAGGGAAACAAACCATGACTAATTTTCTGGTACGAAGAATCCTGCTTTACAAGACAGAAACTTTCTTGTTGAATTGTCATTTTACAGAATGTTTTCTGTATGTTTTACAATAGGAGAAGCTTACTAGTGTGTAATTAACAGGTTTGGGGGCGCTTTAAAGGAGTAGGATAGGAGATAAAAAGGCAAATCCTACCAGTCAGGGAGAGTTAATGTTCTGACTCCCTGAACCCTGCCCATCCAGGAAACTCACCTGTTGTCTTGATACAGAAGAAATTGGTTAATATTACAATACAAACTTCTAGGAGCTTTGCTACATCCGGAAGCAAAATGGGAAGCGAACAAAACTTGTCTTCGCTCTTCCCTGCCATCTCCCTCGTTCGCTATGTCTTTCTGTATCCTCCTTTTCTCCCTTTTGCTAGTTTAAGATTTTGTTTTTTATTCTTCAAAAAAAAATCAATGTTTTAACTTACTAAACACATACAGTATAAAACCAAATACAGTCTAATTTCCCTCACTGTATCACTCCTATCTTATCCTTATAAGTCCTTTTCCTCTTTGCCCATCATTCTTTGGTCCCTGACTTTTTTCTTTCTACCATCCTTATGTTTGTGACCACTTTCCTCCAGTTCCCTTTTCATCTTTTCTGGGTAGAAAAAAAAAAGATCACTGAGGTATAGGGAAGGGTGGAGTCTAGTAAGACAAAGGCAGACAGTATGTTATGTGTACAGGCAAGTCCATTTCATAAGGATTTATCCCTTTGAGTTTAAAAAGTTGCTCTGTATGAATAAATTTCACTAGAACTAAGGTTGCTAGACATAACACTAAGAAAATTGTGAAGATCAAGGTTTACACATTTTCTTAGCTTTCTCAAGATATTCTTTGAAAAGTCCTTTTGTGTTTTTGTACGTATTGAATAACCAGAGAGAGAGAGAGAGAGAGAGAGAGAGAGAGAGAGAGAGAGAGAGAACCATCCCTGTCTTTTGCCTCTCACTGGGTACACACTTTTTTTTTTTTTAAGATTTTTATTGGGGAATTGGGTGATGGGAACAGTGCTGGGGAATTGGGGGAAGGGGAACAGACAAGTTGCTGTCGTTTTGTTCTTCAGTCTAGTTGTGGAGGACGTTGCTTCACTGGCCCAAGTTGGCACCATCATTGCGCTCTTCCCGGGCGAGGCAGATCAGTCGCCGGCTTCTGGATGGCCACTCACAGAGGCTGCTGGCCGCTCATGCTGGCTTCTGGCTACACACGGTAGCCCATGGCAACCCACTGCAGCAGGGGCTGCAGCCTACACCGTCACCGACAACTCACGGCAGCCCAGCTCCAGGTCGAGCTGTTGTTCAGCATCTTAGCTGTGGAGGGCAGTGTCACTGGCCCTCATATGTGGGATCTGAACCGGGGCCCTCTGGCGTCCCAAGCCAGTTCTTTTTTTTTATTGTTAGTTTCAGGTGTACAGAACAATAATGTTGTAAATATTTCTTAGGGGGCCAGATGGACTCATCCTGTTGGGGAGACCACTTCATAGTTGGTGTAGAGGCCTGACCACCGCACTGTATTTCTGAAGCTGATGTTGAATAATATTGTATGTCAACTATAATTATATATACATATAGTCTCGGGACATGGAGTAGAGAGTGGGAATGGAATCAATGGAATTGTAATAGATAAGCATGATATCGGGGGTGGGAGAGCAATACATGGGGGAGGGGGTTTGTTACTTTGTGAGGGTGAAAAGGGTAACTATTGCATTGTTCCGTACACCAGGTACACACTTTCAAATGTTCCTTTTCCCCAGGGTCTGGCGTCTCCTAAAATTGTTTTCATACTGCATGCCTACAATTCCTCACTTTCCTACCCTGCAACCTGGCTCCCTGCAGGGAGATTGAGAATGAAACCAGGGATTAGCCCAGGCTTGGAATCAGGCTGGTTTACATTGGAAGCCCAGCTTTCTGTTTTATTAGCCCAGTGACCTTAGGCGACTTACTTAACTCTCTTAACACTTTTCTCGTCTATAAAATGATGCTCATAACACCAATCCTATTATATTGTTATCAGCATTTAATTACCTGATCCATAAATGTATTACTCACACTCTGTGGCATACGTTGCTGTTTAATAAATAGTATATAACTTATAGATACATATACATAAGTATATGTATACCTCCCATGTGCTCCTTTTTCTCCCATACCCATGCAATTTACCGATCTGTCCTCAATGCCATTCTCCCAGAGTTCTGCCCTTGAAGCATTCCCGTTTTTCCAAATTCACAATTAGCTAATGTAAGAATCTAATCACTGAGAATGTGCTAATGAGCAAGGATAAGAGGAGAGGACAGTGACTACTGGCTGCCAACTCCAATACCCCTCAGTAAAATATGGCTCTTGGAAACAAAACTGTACTCAACATTGCATGGCCAAAGCAGTGACTCACGTTGTGAATTTTAAGCACCATCATCTGGGAACTTACTGCAGCAGCTCAGAAACAGTGACTGCTTCTGTTACCTGTGCTAATAATACCTAGGCCATTCACTAATTTAAAAATAGGAAAATAAAGCTTAAATGGATATTGTGTCCTTTTTTATATAAATTAAAGTATGTGTAGAGATATTACATTTGCCCCAGGACATTCTACAAAATAAATATCCCTCCTAGAAAAACAGGGCTATGGGAAGGTTAAGTGCCCATGTAATGTCTGTGATAAAGCAAAACCTAAACACAATTCTCTTTTCAAGTCAATATTTCTAGGCTATACTATGTTGACTTCATGAGGTGTAACTAAATATAGGAAGCCCTGCTTTGAAAACTCCCATCTGAAAGATCCAAAGTTTGTGAAATTGGCAATGGCAGGAGAGTCATACCTTTTGCCACACTAACAGGAAAGACTCTTAAGTAATGGACTTGGTGCCTGGCCATCCGAGTCAGCCAGTTAGTCATTTTTCTAGACACTATCCATCACTGAGCACATTCCCAAATTTCATGCAACCTAATTTAAACATCTAACTGGCTGTTCTGATGGGAACAAACATTCAATCAAAGTAAAAGCTTGACAACCCTGACATCTAGTGGCTGTGAAGAAACTGGAGAAGATCCAGCTTGGACAAAGTAGCTAGCTTAGCGACTGCGACAGTATCTCACAAACACACAGAATTTAATGAATATTAATATTATAAAACACTGATTCTAAAAGCAACCCTACAGAAGCCTATTTGGCTCTGAATTTATCTTGAGATCTATACAAGGAGGCGGAAAGATTTGCATGTGTAAAGTATATTTTCCTTCAACCTTATACATGTAGCAAATTGTTAATAATCTTCAGAGTTCAAACAAGACAACTAAAGGTTGATTCATATTTTGCCATATTCATGACACCTTTTCTTACTTTTGGTTTGTACAACTCCATCCTGTTCCTGGCCTTCAAGTGATTTTATTTTTTCCCAAATATCCACCTGTCAAATATAAAAGCCATTTTGCCAAGCCATCATAGGGGTTCCCTTTATGCCTCTGAGGCATTCTTAGTCAGAGGGAGTTGTACTATCACAAACCAGGAGTTTTCTCTAAGAGAGGTATAAGTATACATCTAAAACCCTAAAGTCTAAAAGTCTAAAAGTAACGACCATGTGGAATGCTGCAGGAAATCGGATGAACACGGCAAGTCAACACAGCACAGCACAACCCATTTCTGCCCTAAACATGAGAAGATCAGTGTCCCCAGGCCCACCTGACAGGTAGGAGAGCGGGAAACCTACAGTGTTCATCACCTCCACCAAAAAGGGTTCTTTCTGACTCCTACCTGCTGGCGTTTGAAAGCTAAATAATCCAGGTTTTCCAGCTCCTTCCCAAGCTTCTGGTAGGTTTTCTGGAGGTCAGATTTGTTGGAAACATTTTTAAGAGACTCGAATGTCCTTTGAAACTGAAATTGAAAAAGAAAGTAAATCATTAGGATAGCAGCATATTTTTCCTCAAATCCATCACTGGTGAACACAGAGAAATCATTGATACCGAACTTCAGTTTCTCCCACTCAAAATACCGAGACAACAAATGCTAGCTAATTGCCTTTCGATGCAATGATTATAGAATTGGGAATGATTATGAAGAATTAGAAACTATAACCTAAGTACAACCAATGTTATTGCATGAATGAAAGCCTGTGTAGTCCTCATTTCAACAAAAGAGCATACTGCATAAAAAAAGTCTTTGTCTTAGCATACACTGCTACTTTTAAAGAAAAAAGTACAATGAATGTATAATTTTAAATCATAATGAGGAAGGATTAAAAGAGCTCTCACATTCCAACCATGGAAACAAATTTATGTAAAAATAGCTGCTTGCCTCTGTAGAAACACCTATGTAGAAAATACACCCAGCAAACTTCAGCCAGGTAGCTCTCTCAGATCTTACATTTTTGAGAAGATAGGAAAACTAACATTTTGATGACTGTATGTAGCATGTTCAGCAAACACTTATTCATTTCCACTTTATAACACAAATGAATTATGGAATCAGCTCTGCTGAATCAGAATGCTTCTGTTCATTTTTAAATCAGATACTAGATAAACACAAAGGAGACAAATTGCAGTGGATCACAGAATATTGTTCTGCTACCAATAATTAATTAAGCAAAGGGAGCTCACCAGAAATTGAATTGTTGATTTATTTTAGTAAATTAGAACATATTTTGGACGATTAGTGATTGAAAATGTCAAGTAATATCATTTGCAAGAGAGCATTTGCTCTCTCTTTATGTCGTTCATTTCCCACATTCACTGTGTTTCATTAGATAGGATTCTACACAGAGGCTTCACCATCTTAAACACACCAGAACTGCACTGTGACTATGATGCTATGAGACAAGCTAACAGGATTTTACAGAATATAATTAAGTTTCCAAGGAAATGATTTGACCCTTATTATTTCAAACTCGATGGAAGAAGTCATATTATAATGGCATTCTACTGAATTAAATCCTTAATTCCATGAAAGCAACATGTTTATCTCAATCCAAGGTGACAGAGGAAAAAGAAATGGGAAATAATAGTGCTAAGCTTAGCACAGCAAGACAGTAAATTAAATTCAACAAGTCATCTTCCAGAACCTACTATGCACAAGGCACTATGAATACAAAATACATTTCCTGTGCTAAACAAACTTACAGACTATCGGGGAAACTAGACCTGAAACTTAGAAATGGAGAAGACTCTGACAACTGAGTGCCTGCTCAGTCCCTCCCAGGCACTTTACGCTCTCCAATTAAATCCTCACAGGAACCACAGGAGTCCCTATCTCTCTTCCCAAACTACCAGTCAGTAAACTGGGACTCCAAGTTTGAACTGGGTTTTTACTACCTCACTAGTGCTATTTCTACTCTACCATTAACTCTAGCACAAGCAAAGTAGTAAAGAGAGAACAAAAAAGAGATAAAAGTAATATGGGCTGAAACAGAAAAAACGCATTGATACTAATTGAGGGACTCAGGCCACACAGAAGGCATGAGGGAATTTGAGTTGGGTCTCGAGTGACAGAAAGAATTTTCAGAGCCTTAAATGGGAAGCAATCCTACCCATCAGTTTAAACATAGCCCAAGTCTGCTCACTTTCTCCTTTTGTAGCGCAGTAAACAAATTTCTTTTAACATAATTGTAATGACCATTATATTAACTATTTATTATGTTACATTGTTATTTATGTGTCTTGCTCTTCCTTGATTCCTTCTCATTATGTTCAGATCAAAATAATACCAGATCTAAAATTCTAAGCAATTTAAGTAATTTTATTTATAATTAATATTTTATAATTAATATAATAATTTATAATTATTATTTATAATTAATAACAAAAACTATTTTGCCAATCTACCTGTTTAATTCTAAGCACTTCTCTTCCCTAAGAAATATTAGTTCTACTTCTTAAATATTTCTTCTTCCCACTTATCTCTGTGAACTTTATACAACTCCACATAGAAACTTTGGGGTAAACACATTTGTAAGGCTTCAAAGTAAGAAACATGGGAACAAATACTGCCAGGTAATATGTCCATGGCCAAAGAAGAAAGAGAGAAAATCCAGTAGTGAAACGTCACAAGATGTTTTCATCAAAGGTCAGAGTTCGCATAATATGGAGATTTTAGCTTGAGCTTTTGCTATCAGGATTTATATCCTCCATTTATTGATACTAAATAGCTCAGAATACCCAAACTATGATGATTCATTCATTTCAATCAATTTTTTTTCATTTACAACAACAAATAATACTTGTCAAGGAGAGGTCATACAAAATCTGTAGTGTAACTTTGTGTTAGATCTCTTTTAAACATACTCCACCCCCATCTACCCACATATATACTTAAAGATGCTAAAGGATAAAAGCAATAATCTTTCCTTGCAGATGACGCTGAAGCACAATAGATAAAAATAAGACAATGGTGAGGGTGAGGCTTAGATTTTACTCAAAGATATTTGATGTTAACTTGATTTGAGGATTTTTCATTCCAATAGGATTTTTTTGTGCTTTGAAAAAGACCTCTTGAGATTTTCTACATTAGCTCAGTCCATTGTAATTTCATTATATTCACTATTTCTCAAAATAAATGATCTCTCAATTTAAATTGGGATAAAAAGCACAATTACTTGAAGATTTTAATATTCCTGGATTTTACCTGTTCAAAATTTTGAGTGGTAATTTAAAATAACCAAGAACCCTAAAATAATTTGTTGAACATTGAATTTACCCGGTGTTAATATTTTTAACTCATTACAAACCAAATTCAAACCTAAAAACACAAAGCCCAATGAATAAATATAAACCCAAAACAAACCTAGGTATGTTCTAAACCTGTCAAAACTGAACATTAAAATGGTATCTGAACTGAGAAACAAATGGAAATTCTGTCCTATTTGACTATGTTACCAAATATCACAGGGCAGGCAAGAATGAGAAGATGCAAACAATATCTCTTAGCCCCAAATTTGCCATAAAAATAAGCATTGTAAATACTCTAGTGTTTTCTCATCAAATTTCTTTCTGTTCAGGGTACAGTTCAAGATGGCAATGTAGGAAGATCCTGAACTCACCAACTCCAGTGGCCACACTAAATCTACAGCTACATAAGGAACAACTTTCTCTGAAAAAAATCTCTAAAAACTGGCGGAGATACCTCTTCACATCAGGTACAAATGAGAGGGAAACCACAATGAAGCAGGTAATAAAGGCAGAGACACAATCTCACTGTATACCCCACCACGGGTACTGTAGCCCACGGTCAGGAGGACACTCAAAATCCAGAGCATCTCCCTGAGGGGGGAAGGGTTGTACCCCACATCGGGTACCCCAACTTTTAAGACCGGCACCCGAGAGATGAGTGCCCCAAACGCCTGGCTTTGAAGACCAGTGAGTCTCACGTCCACAAGTCCCATGTGGCTGCAGCAAACTGAGAAAAGCCTCTGAAAGGGCAAATGAAGACTCACCCACCTTCAGATGTAGTGCAGAAGCAGCTCTTGAAATGTATCCCAGCTTTATGTGGAAAAGATTCATCTGATAATTTTAAAGCATTGATGCTGGGATACTCCCTAGGGACAGTGGCTGGTGGGTACCATCTTCCTGCTCTCCCTCTGCCTTCCTAAAGTCAGTAGACACATGTGTTTTCTTTTTCTCTTTTTCTTTTTTTCCTCTGTCTTTTTCCTTTTTTTCTTTTTTCAGTGAGTGCCATCTTTACACTCCCCCTCTGCTTTGCTCCAGCCACTGGGTACCATCTTCACATTCTCCCTCTACCCCATTCTAGGGCACCAGTATCTCTCAAAAAGGAGCTTCTGCACACATCTGGTGCCCTTGGTTTTATGTCTGATGACTGACTTCTTGCGACCACCAAGGGATGCCCCAAGATAGCTTAGCTCTGGAGGACAGGGAGGCTTATGTTTTCCTGGGGCCCATGGAACTGTAACAATCAGAGAGACAGTTCTTGGCAGACTACCATTCCCAGGCCACTGCACAGATAGCAGACTGACACACACCGCCCATCTGTCTCAGAAAGAGACGTATGTGCTTGTCCATAAGCCTCGGACTGAGGGACAGGCTTCTGTTTGGCACACTTACAGGGGCTTGGAGAGGTAGTCTCATGGAGCAGAGGCAACTGAATAGTCTTTGCACCCTCCGTCTGTCTCACTCCAGCTCACCAGCATCTTCCAGAAAGGAGCTTAGACCCTTGTCTGGTGCCCTCATTTTTGTGGCTGCTTCCAGGGACATCTCTAAAGTGCTCTGGTAAACAGTGGGGTTTATGCTCATGGGTTGCCTAGGACTGTAACCAAGAGAGAAAGAGTCCTCAGAAACATACCACCCTCGGGGTTCAGCAAGAGGCAACAGACCTAGGAGCTCAGTCTTTCTGTGAAAGAGGCCTATTAGCTTATCATCATAACTACAGCTTGAGAGGCAGGCTTCTCATTAAACACACATCTAAGAGCTGACTCCAAACCTTTCCTGACAGTGCTGTAGGGTGGGCACTGTCTTGGCGCTCTCCCTCTGCTGCACTCCAGAGCACCAGCATCCCTCAGAGGGGAACTTTTCCATGTGCCTGGCACCCCACCTTTTTGTCTGCTGCCCTGATTTTTGTAAGTACAACCCAAGGGATTTCCCTTGATTGGCTGGCTCTGGTGCCCACGGGGTTTGCATTTCTGGGTCCCACGGAAATGTAACAATCACAGACACAGTTCTTGGCAGGATACAACCCCCAAGGCATTGTAAGACAGCAGACTGAAACTGACCACAGCCTTTCTGGGAAAGAGGTTACTTGCTTGTCTTGCAGCTTCTGCCTGCACACATCTAGATGCTACAGAGATGCCCTTAGGGAACACAGACTGGGGACACCATCTTTGCACTCTCCCTCTACCTCACTATAATTCACCAGTATCTCCCAGGAAGGAG